ACACAGGCAGAAACCCATCACCTATGCCTGAGTATCCAAACCAAACAGAATTCTATGCATCCTACCTATGCTCGGAAATTTCCGAGATATTTATTGGAATGGAATACGCATTTTCTCCCTGGAGGGATGCATCCTGCTTACCTGATTCTGGAGAGTATTGGGCGCAGGTTGGCAAAAGCCAAGGCTTGGGGACACCTGGAGTCTAACCAGCTAAAACCACATAGCTTGCCATTGAGCTGCCCACCCAGCTCGTCTATCTGTTTTTCATGTAATTGTTCATGATCTTTGTTACAATTTGCCTCCAATTTAAGATCTCAGTAAAATTCATTATTATTCTCTCAATTCCTGAACCCAGATGATTGACATGTGTAGTAAACAAGAGCGACCCTTACACAGCTACTTCAAGTCTCACCATGTTGGGAACTTGATCCAAGTTGCATTGGGCTCGTTGTTGCTGTTGTATTTGGTAGGAACAGATGTTGGCTCAGACCTTGGCCTTTGGCCTCACACGCCTGCTGCTGATGTACTGCTGAAAACAGAAGGAAACTAGAGTCATCAAACCATCTCACTGTGTGGCTCAGCTCGACCATCTGAGCAGAATTGGTATGAAGTTGAAGTTTCCTTGCACAGCCACCTTCACTGGACTGTGTGTCAATGACTCAATGAGCGGGGGTCAGCCTCTCTCAGTGGGGAGCACTCTGACCTCCCAGTCAGAAGGTTATGGGTTCAATCCCCATATCAGGACTCGGAACTCATTGTCTACGCTTGCACTGCATTACTTTACTCACCATTAATGTGTCCATTACACCACTCACCATCACTGTACTCACCATAACACCATTCACAATTACTGCACTCACTGTCTATTACACCATTACAATACTCACTGTCTATTACACCATTACAATACTCACTGTGTCTCTATGTGTGGTTGGAAGGTAGTTCTCAGCCTGTGGCCCCAGAGACACACAAAGAGCCCAGATATTATGTCATGCAACACATTTCTAGTTGAACTTACGCCTGTCTTTTCTCTTTCCTTTCGGTGGTGGAGCAAGCACAAACGTACTGGGTAGGATAAGGTCCTCTGGCCGCATAGTGCACGTTCTGTATCCTGGCCACAGAGAGGAAATAATGAGCTCTGGGCCTCCTCATCACCACCCCACACTACCTGCTCGCACTGCCCTCCACACCAACACCCCACCCCTATTATTCCACCACACCCCCTCCCCGTCTAGCCAAACCCACCCCACTTCACTACACACACACACACAAATACACTCCCCCTCCAGTGGAGGCTGCACAGTGCTGAGTGGCCCAGGCCCCTGATACCAATGGCAGCACTTACCTATGCGACGCTCAACGTATGGTTGTGGCTCGGTTTGGACTGGAAGTGGCGATGGCTTCCTGAACTCAGGCATCGGGCACACTGTACATACACACAAGGTACCATCTGACTATAGAGGAATCCCAGAGTTACAGCACCCACACACCAGCGGCCATCACACAAGACAAACTAACCCGCTGACCCGCCTTGCTCCCCCACACAGGGTTCTTACTGAAGCTCAACCAGCTCGGCAATTCCGACACTGTCTGCTGTTTGTCCAGCGAGCACGACGACAACAACTTGCATTGAAACAGCGCACATCACACGTGGTAGTGTCTTGGAGCGCTTGACAGTAGCGGAGTCTGCCACCAAGCCAAGGGGAGAGGGATTGGGAGGTGACCATAAGCACAATCAAAAAGGAAGCACTTTAGGTGGGATTTGAAACAGGGGAGGGAGGAGCAAGACGGAGGGATTGAGGGAGAATGTTCCAGAGTTTCAACAACAACTTGCACTTATATAGTCAACGTTCTGTATCCTGGCCACAGAGGGAGGAAATACCAGTGGCCCTCATGCAGCGCACTGACACTAGCAGATCACGACTCCGAGCAGTGGGAGGAGGGAAGGGGGAGGTGACCATTGGCACGGTCGAAGAGGAAGGCTTTCAGGCGCGACTGAAGATGGGGAAGGAGGGGGCAAGGTGAAGGGATAGAGGAAGAATGCTCCAGAATGTCGGGGCACAGTGGCTGAAAGAGCGGCCACCAATGGTGGAATGGAGGGCACGAGGAACATGCAGAAGGATGGAACCCGGCGAGCGGAGGCAGTGGATTGTGGGTCGGGGGTAAGCAGATCGGAGAGGTAGGGAGGTGCAAGGGCATGAAGGGATTTGAAAACGAGTGTGAGGATCTTGTAAATCGATCCGTTTGGTAATTGGGAGCCAGTGGATCCTGGTTGGAATCAGTGTGATAAGGGCCGAGCGAGAGGAATCCCAGCCCCGTCTGCTCCACAGGCCCTGTGGCGAGGCAGGCTGGTTGGTCTCTCTCAGCAATGTCTGCTTCCCAAAGCCTGGAACGATACTGAGCGCCAGGTTCCCACCGCAGCACTTACTGATTTGAGGTGGTTCCAAATCTGTGGGCGCCACAAAATCAGTGGGAAAGAACGCTGCATCTTTGTACGGAGGCCCTGTGAGCAAACACAATAATCCCCTCAGCAACACCCTCAAATCCTGTAGCTCAGTGGTTAGAGCGCTCACCTCGCAAGCGAGAGACCTGGGTTCGATTCCTGGGCAGGACAAAATGTTGGGCAAGTTTCCTTACTCCACACAACTCTGTTTACCTTAGCAGTGAGTAGGAACCCGGTTGTTAGTCGATGGGCGGATCGCTTTTTAAGAAAAATTAGTCACTCATCCATGACTGTTTGTCGAACACCGCCCACAAAATATACAGTCAATTCAATGACATGATGAGGCGCTATATCAAATGCAAGGATTATCATTATTATTATGGGCCTGGAGACTGACAAGGATTGAAACGATGAGGGTGCGGAGTTTAGGACAGGTGAGGATGTGGGCGACAGAATGAATTGGATTTGATCAGTGGTTGAGTTGGGGAGACCGGCGAGGAAGGCGATGGGAACATTGAGGTGGCTCTTACCAGCCATTCGCCTTCTCGGGGGCGAGTGAGCTACTGGAAATTGTTGGGCCAGACCTCTCTGGGGAAACTCTGGGAACAGAGAACAGAAATATTTAGATTATTGTCCACAGCCCCCACCCTACATGCCAGGCCTCCAACCTCTAACCCCCCACTGCCCATCTAACCCCCTCTCCCCCTCTGCCCCCTTCATTAGTGTGTGTAACTTCATGTACACAACATCAACTGCACCACCTTCATCAACCTTCTCCGTTATTTCAACGAAGAAATATTCCAAGTTAGTTAGATACAATTTGCCTTTAACAAATCCGTGTTGGCTGTCCTTTATTAATCCATGTTTATCCAAATAAAAATTTTTTTTTCGTAAATTATGGTCGCTAGAAGTTTCTAGCATCTCAGAGTGCTTGACAATGGTAGGGCCTGACTATTCGGCTCACTGGTCTGTCGTTACCAGATTTATTCCTCTCCTCTGTTTTGAACAGGGGTGTAACATTTGCAACCATCCAGTCCTCAAGCACTACTCCTATATCCAAGGAGGATTGAAAGATTGTGGCCAGAGCCTCCGCTATTTCCACCCTTACTTTGCTCATCAATCTAGGATGCATCCCAGGTGACATTTCTACTTTGAGCGCTGTGATCCTGTTAAGTAACTCCTCTCTATCTATTTTTAATCTTATCCAATCTCTCTACTCGTCCTTCTTTACCGTGACCTTGGCAGCATGCTCTTCTTTTGTGAGGACAGATGCAGAGTACTCATTCAGTTCCTCAGCCATGACCTCTGCCTCAACAAGAAGCTTTCCTTTTTGGGCCCTAATCAACCCCATCCTAATCGGCCCCACACTCTGGCCCCAGGACACAGTGATACATGGAGAATAATGAGAAGCTCACTCACCACACGCTCCTCCTGGCCTTCTTTGTGGCTCTTCTAAGGAGTCTGTAAAGTAGCTGCTTCCTGAATGTCCGCTGGCCGGGTGTTGGTAGCTTACCAGGTCTGCTATTAAAAACACAACAGCAGCAAAGGAATGGGAGCCCATTCAGCCCCTCATGCCTCTTCCACCATTCTATTCTATCAGTGCAAGGCACTGAGTGTTTGTAACGGGGCGTGAGTGTGTGTAACGGGGCGTGAGTGTTTGTAACGGGGCGTGAGTGTGTGTAACGGGGCGTGAGAGTGTGTAACGGGGCGTGAGCGTGTGTAACGGGGCGTGGGCGTGTGTAACGGGGCGTGAGTGTGTGTAACGGGGCGTGAGTGTGTGTAACGGGGCGTGAGTGTGTGTAACGGTGGTGAGTGTGTGTAACAGGAGCTTGCGTGTTTGTGGGAGTGAGTATGCTCTCCTCATTGCAAAGGACAGCTCTTACCAGTTACAGCCATTCTTCTTCTTAAGGGCAGTTCGTCCACATCCATGTTCGGAAAACCTGCAAACAGAGAACCTGAATATTCAAGTCTTTGTCCCTAACCCACCCAACACACCTTAACACTTCCAATCACCCTCCCATTAGCCCCTTCTCTCACCCCATCATTAGCACCACACTGTGAGCCAATCACAGTGCCGCACTGTTCTCTCAGCCCACCCCATGCACACCAACCCCCCCCCCCCATCCCCACCCTGTGCCCACCGCCCAATACACTGGTCCTGAGTAGAGGCTCAGGTGAAAAATGAGGGGAAACTCACTCACCATATTCAGGACCTCCTCCCAATATTTCTTCATCTTCATAGGACCCTATGCCTGGGGACTGAGGAGCTGTAGCATATGTCAATTTTGTCCAGTCTGTAATGAAACAGAATATCAGTGCTGGGCACTGACCCCGGGTGTCACTGTCCTTCGAACAGAATATCAGTGTCATTGTCCCCTCCAGTGCCATTTTCCTCACCATTTCCAAGTCTCCCCACACCTTGCCCATCAGCCCCTGACTATTAAGTTGAGCCTCACTGGGCCCATACTCCAGGACTCACCGTACTGTGAGACTGGGTGCACTGGGCTTGATGCTGCCATTGGACTTGCTAAATAAGGACACTCATCTTCCTCCTCAGGTGCCTCCTGTTGGAATCCTGTAAGAGAACAGAAACAGTGATGACAAAACCTGGAGATGTGAGGCTGGGAGCTACTATCACAGCAGAATGGCACAATACTGGGGACTGCTTTTCCTGGTATGAAGAGTTAAGGGGATCATCATTGACCATGTGGCCTTCAGTGACCTATGTGTCTGCACACCAATGTCTCTCTGCTCCGCTTATCATTTATGATGGGTTTACTTTCTGTATTCTGAACACTAAAATGTAACATTTTACATTATTAAACTCATCTGCCACTGAGCTGCCCGCCCTGTTCATTTATCACTGTTCCTCAGCACAGAATATCAGTGCTGGCCACTGACCCTGGATGTCTCTATTTCTCAGTATTCACTATGAATGCTGGGCAGAAGCTTCTCTGTAGCCACTTCAGGTCTCACCATGTTGGGGACTTGATCCATGTTGCATTGGGCTCGCTATTGCCGCTGGATGTGGAAGGAACAGATGTTCGCTCAGACCTTGGCCTTTGGCCTGACATGCCTGCTGCTGACGTACTGTTGAGAGAAGAGAACAGAAACACTGACAACGAGTTACTATCAGAGCAGAACGGCACATTATTGGGAATTGATATTTACTGGTATAAAGAGTTAAGGGGATCATCATTGACTGTATGGTCAATAACAACAACATTTGTATAGTGCCTTTCTTGTCGGGAGGACATCCCAAGGCATTGGACAGTCAGTGAGTTGGACCTGAGCTGGGGTTGGGATCAGGAAGGGTGGAGGGCAGGGAAGGTAGGGGTTGGAGTGTGGTCGAAGGCACGGTCGAAGAGGTGGGTCTTAATCATGCCTTGAAGGAGGCAAGGGAGGGAGCAAGGCATGATTCTCACCAAATTGGGGACTTGTTCCATAAGTCATGTTCCTTGTTGGCACTGGGTGTGGTATATGAAAAGACCTGGTACTCGCAAACGAGAGGGGCTGGGTTTGATTCCCGGGCAAGGCAAAACGTTGGGCAAGTTTCCTTACTCCACGTGCCTCTGCTTACCTAGCAGTAAGTAGGAACCCGGTTGTTAGTCGATTGGCTGATCGTTTTTCCCGGGGTAATAAGTCAAAATAAATTATTTGACCACAAAATTGGTCACTCAATTCACGATTGTTTATGGGTCACTGCTGTGCTGTGCGCAATTGGCTGTCACAAAAACTGTCAATTCACTTTACAGTATATTCTGCGAAGCGCTTTGAGATGTTTCGAAGACGTGATAAGGCGTTATATCAAATGCGAGGATTATTATTATATTGGAAGCTGATATTTACTGGTATGAAGAATTAAGAGTCATTGTTTCCCTGTGTGGTCACCTTTAGTGACCTGTTTAACTGCACCAGGTCGCTCTGCTCCATGTTAAAAACTGATAATTTAAAGTGGATTTCCTTTCCTTATTCTTAATACCAAAACGTAACCCTTCACATTTACATCATTGAATTGCAACTGCCACTGAACTGCCCACCCTGCTCGTTTATGACTAAAATCGGGATCCAAAGAAGGAGCTTGCTTTTAATACAGCCCCTTCTCATGGCAAATATCTCAGTTACAGTTGCTGTGTGGAGAGGGATGGCTCACCCGGTGTAACTGTGGGATAAGGGTCGCAGCGCCTTTTGACAGGTGGAGCTGGTGATGGTGCCACTTTGTGTGGTGACAGTCGTGGACTGATCATTGCCGCTGCATTCGCCCCCGCTCCATCTGAGAAGAAATACATTCAGTAATTAGCCCAGATCCCAACCCATCACCGAAACCAGAACTGAACGCTGCACCGTTGCTGAGATTGCCTGTTTGTGAGTGTGTGTCTCTCTCTCTGTCTCGCTCTGTATGTGTGTGTGTATCTCTCTCTATCTGTGTGTGTACCTCTTTCTGTGTGTGTGTGTGTGTGTGTCTCACTCTCTCTATCTGTGTGTGAGTCTGTATGTGTGTGTGTGTGTATGTCTCAACCTATCTCTCTCTGTGTGTGTGAGTGTGTGTGTGTGTCTCTCTCTCTCTACCTCTCTGACCTGCTGACTCCCTACCAACTTGCCCGCTCCCTCCGTTCAGCGGGCTCCGGTCTGCTCCATGTCTCCCGCCCGACCCGCCCTACCTTTGGTGACCAGGCTTTCAGCCTCTCTGCCCCACACTCTGGAACTCCATCCCACAGTCCCTTCGCCTCGCTTCCTCCCTCGCCTCCTTCAAGGCCGGTCTCAAGACCCTTCTCTTCGACCGTGCCTTTGGTCGCCCTCCCACCTCTCTGCCTTCCCTCACCCCTACACCACCCCTCCCCCATGCTCGAGTCCTGACACCTGACTATCCAGCGCTTTGGGACATCCTCCCGACATGAAAGGTGCTTTTGTAAATGTAATCTTGTTTGTTGTTGTTCGTGTTTTTCTTGATCGAATATTTCTTTGAGTTATGGCATAAATCAAGAAATATTCAAAGAACATTTATTTTATAAATGTTGTTGTTGTCTGCATGTGTCTCCTGCAGATCTAAACTCCTCAAGCTCCTTGGGCTCTCCTTCAGTTTCATCGAACTAGTGCGCAAACTAGGCGTCCGTTTCGACCCCCAACTGTCCTTCCTCCCCCCCATCCAGTCCCTGACCAGGACCGCCTTCTTCCACCTCTGCCACATTGCCCATCTCCGACCATACCTTACCCCAAATGCAGTCGAAACCTTCGTGCATACGTTTGTCACCTCCCGCCTGGATTACTCCAACGCACTCCTTAGAAACCTATAAGATTCTTAAGGGTCTTGACAGGGTAGATTTTGTGAGACTGCTTCCCCTGATTGGAGAATCTAAAACTAGGGGTCGTAGTCTCAGGATTAAATATCAGCTCTTTAGAACTGAGTTGAGAAAACATTTCTTCACTCAGAGGGTAATGAATTTACCTAATAATGGAATTCTCTATCCCAGAAGGCTGTGGATGCTCAGTCATTGAATATATTCAAGACTGAAATCGGTAGATTTTCAAAAACTAAAGGGATTAAAGGATATGGGGAGAGGGCAGGTAAATGGAATTAGGTTAGAAGAGGTTAGAAGATCAGCCATGATCTCATTAAATGGGCGGGCAAGCTTGAGGGGCCAAATGGCCTACTCCTGCTCCTACCTCTTATGTTCTCCTCCCCATTCTCCCCAGCTCCATCATTCACAAAATCCAGCTCATTCTGCTGCCCACATACTGACCTGGACCAAACTCCGTAACCACATTTTACCAGTTCTGGCCCAGGCTCTCCTGGCTCTCCATCACCGAACGACTTCAAGATCCTCACACTCGTGTTCAAATCCATTGGCTCCCTGGCACCTCCCTACCTCTCCGACCTCCTCACTCCCCAATCCACCACCCAGCGCCTCCGCTCAACTGGCACCGGCCTCACGCTCATCCCTTGTACCTTCCGCCTTACCATCGGAGGTCGTGCTTTCAGCCACTATGCCCCAAATCTCTGGAACACTCTCCCTCAATCCCTCCGCCTTGCCCCCTCTCTCCCCTCTTTCAAGTCCTGCCTGAAAACTTTCCTCTTCAACCGTGCTTACGGCCCCCTACCCACCGGCTCAGAGTCAGGCCCCACCACTGTTAAGCACTCTGAGGCGCTACCCTGCATGGAGGGCGCTATATTTTTATTTTTATTTTTATTGTTAATAAGTTATTGTTGTTATGTCTCTCTCTATCTGTGTGTGTGTTTTTCTCTCTCTGGGTATCTTTGTGTGGTGACGGCCCCGAGAGGCAGGAGATGGTGACCTGTAGTCACGCTGTCAGTGCACTGCCAAGCTTGGAGAGCAGTGCTGGTGTTCGGCAGATCTCCAGGCCTTCACATGTAGTGCGGGATGGAAACGGATGATTCCGTCCTTCACGCCTGCACTAGTGTTTCCTCCCCAAGTGAGCCACCCAGTTTTGGTTAAAAGAGAGCAGCAATAAATAATTTTTTCCCAACAATCTATGACGTGTTATTTCTTCACGTTTAGTTTTTATCACCAAATGGAAAAACTGTAAGCGAACAGTAAAATGTGCCTCTCAATAGCACCAATGAATGCCCCGTAATTTTCTGCAAAATTTGTCAAAATTTGTCACAAGCTTAATCTGGCCTTGCCTGTGGCCCCAGGTCCCAGAGACACACAAAAAACCCAGAAGCTATTTCACACAACACGTGAGTTGAACTTACGCCTGTCTTTTCTCTTTCCTTTCGGTGGTGGAGCAAGCACAAACGTACTGGGTAGGATAAGGTCCTCTGGCCGCATAGTGCACGTTCTGTATCCTGGCCACGGAGGGAATAAATTATTAATAAATCAAATTTATTTGATATAGCGCCTTTTTACGTCTTCAAGACGTCTCAAAGTGCTTCACAGAATATACTGTAAAATGATTTGGTGTATTCTATGGGCGAAGGGCCAATTGTGCGCAGCAGCACAAACAGTCATGGATTGAGTGACCAAATTATTATTATTATTAAATTTTTAAATTGAAGGAATTATTAGTCTCCGAAAAGTGAAAAGCAATCCAATATTACACTAACAACTAGGTTCCTACTCACTGCTAGGTGAACAGAGGTGTGTGGAGTAAGGAAACTTGCCATAAGGTTTTGCCCCAACTGGGACTCGATCCAGGTCCTCTCGCTTGTGAGGCTCTAACCACTAAGCTACAGGACTCACCCTCCCAACCACAACACCCACCACACATTCCCACTCCCCCCAACCAGCACCACACCACAACACTGTGAGTGGAGACTACAGAATGCTGAGTGACTCATGCCCCTGATATTAATGACAGCGCTTACCTATGCGACCCGCGATGTACGGTTGTTCCTTGGCTTGGACTGGAAGTGGCGATGGCTTTCTGAACGCAGGCATCGGGCACACTGTACACACACACACAAGACACCGTCTGACTATCAGAGAATCCCAGAGTTACAGCATCCACAACCGGCGGCTATTACTCAAGACAATGGGGGAGGTTGGCAATGAAGACGGAAAGAGAAATGCCTTCTCCTCACCCCAGCCCGGAAAATTTAGCCACACGTTGGCAAGAGCCAAGCTTGGGGATTCTACAGTGTGAACAATCTCTTTCTTGTGGATCAGCCGGATGTCTGACACATACCACATGACCCATCGCCATGCTTAACAGTATCCAAACCAAACTGAGAATTCCATGCATCCCACCTTCACATGGAAATCCCAGCGATAGACTGTTGGAATGGAATGTAACTCTTTTCCTGGACGGATGCTTACCTAATTCTGGAAAGTATTAGGCGCAGATTGGCAAGAGCCAATGCTTGGGGACCCCAGAGTA